CTACAGACAGGATAGCGTACCTCTCCGAGAGGTTACTACAGACAGAATAGCGTACCTCTCCGAGAGGTTACTACAGACAGAATAGCGTACCTCTCCGAGAGGTTACTACAGACAGGATAGCGTACCTCACCGGTAGGTTACTATAGACAGGATAGCGTACCTCACCGGGAGGTATCTATGGACAGTTTGTATAAAATTCATTTGTTCTATATTGGAAGTTTTAGTTTTAGTTTTTTCGACGTCTGTATGTTCTATTACAGACGTTTTTGCGTACTTGACGGAGCGATCTCTGTAGAGAAGTTTGCATTAAAACCATTTGTTAAAATAGGATGTTTTAGCGTTCTTTATACAGCGGTCCAGATAGACAAGTTCGGTTGTAGCGGTACGTTATTCACAAATGTAATAATACTTCCGTACAGATTGTTCACGTTTTATACATGTGACAGTCTCGTAGTAGATCAGACAGCATCCTTTAATATGACATTTTCTGTTTCAGAAAAAAATGCGAAAAAACCGCAGATGAGATGTTTAACATGCCACTTAACTTTGACTAAACTGCAACGACCCGTAGGTAAGTGGGTCAAACTTGAAAGTTAGCGAACCAGAGAATCAAAACACTAACATGACAGCTAGAGAGAAAATAGTATAAATAAAAACAAAATCATTTTAGTTTTAACAAATTAATAAAATAATTCCTTACCTGTTATGGGTGGAATCCATAGGCCGTAAAGGCTACTTTCCGTTTCGATAGGTTTAAAGTTAGCTACCATAGCACTGGTATTTACTATAGGATAGAGGCGGTGAGCGCTGTGTTGTCATACACCGTACTGGATCACATACATAAAACCCACAAATGTAACCGAGAAGTAAGCGGCCCTGTGATTGGCTACAGCCTCAGAATGGGTCATACAGTACATGCACCTTACTTGTTGGGTCACTATTCTTCCTACTGCAGGCGGCTTTACCTCGACCCTTTTACAACGGTCTCATGTTTGTTATTATCATGTGTCGAATAGCAAGAACATAACTAAAGGCTAGGAACATAAAATATGCGAAGTTATACACAGGAAGTGGAATTATAATTTTAAAAATCATTCGGCTATGGAATGAAAGCATATGTCTGCGATGAAGGGAATCGAATTTACTCGGCTAACTTGCAGTACCGAGAGTAAAAAAGCTTAGGGAGTTAACACTGAGCCTCGCACTGACTCACCGCTTCCTATCAACCATCTGCAATACAGAAGGCTCGCTACAGCGAGATGTATTTTGGCAACCGAGATAAAAAAAACAAATCGAAGTATTTGCCTAGAAGGAATGCTGGCAGTTTGTATAATTAGTCTTTGTACGGCGGGTACATCTACAGAGAGTCCCATGCCGGGGCTATATAGATAATTATATAAGTAGACTATATGGGCGTATAAGTATATATAATCTGCACACCTAGCGGTACCGGTTTAATACTTGTTGTAGACACACCAGATTGTCAGTTGAAGTGTGATGATGTGTAGATGTCAGATCCCACTATCAGGTCAGGTGAAATGGCGCGAGTGTGGAGGCCTAATTACATATGATCGATGTTTTTCACACGAACTTACTTACAACCTCGGTAGCCCGAGCTCAGACAGCGCGTGGATTCGAACACCGATCTGGCAGCATTGCTAGGACGTTTAGTTTGGCGACTGCTCATTGCATTCGTTATCAAATTTCTATTAAGTGCACTATAGAAGGTAAACAATTTTTAATTGATTGAAAATATGTGAGCCGATACAGTGAATGACAATCGAATAATCCATTATTGTCGATATTTTGATAGGGACTGATAAGAATATTGATATTCCAACAACTACTTATGCTGTCGCTTTGTCGCTATACTGCATCATCTTGTCGCTCTAATGTTACGTTATCTTTACATCGTGCTGTCCGACCGTGCTTTCCCCTTTCTTGATAGTAACATCCATGGTTTTCCCGACATATCATGTCGCAATTAGGGTATTCAAGAGCTTGTTCCGAATATAACGATATGCATGATAGATGTCGACTACTGTCGATCACAGTTACAACACAAGGACATTCGGGTTGATGAAAAACATGGGCGCAAGTGTTATGGTTGCTATCGTGATGTCACTAGGAACATGTGTTATAAGTCTGAGAAGGTCGATGTGTTTTACGCTCGTTAGTGCGTCGTCTTGCTTACCGTTTTCGTTAACATGGTAATCGCTTCTTGAACGTGGATTATTTAAATTAGTCTTTTTCATGGGCTCTTGTGGTTTCCAAGGAGTCCATGTAAATCTTCTATTTTCAAATTTGCCCTAGTGTTATCTATTTTGAATTTGAGTTTTGTCGACGTTTCGGTATTCTTTTCGGTGATATTTGTATATTGTAGTTATGAAATATTCTGGTTAAATCGGAATGTCTTTAACTATTGCCAGTATGATAATTCGGTATCATATTGTCAGTATGATGATTCTGTATCGTATTGTCAGTATGATATTTCTGTATCATACTTTCAGTATGATGATTCTGTATCGTATTGTCAGTATGATAATTCTGTATCGTATTGTCAGTATGATGATTCTGTATCGTATTGTCAGAATTATATTTCTGTATCGTATTGTCGGTATGATGATTCTGTACCGTATTGTCAGAATGATGATTCTGTATCGTATTGTCAGTATGATATTTCTGTATCGTATTGTAAGTATGATGATTCTGTATCGTATTGTCAGAATGATGATTCTGTATCGTATTGTCAGTATGATGATTCTGTATCGGTTTGTCAGTATAATATTTCTGTATCATACTTTCAGCATAATGATTCTGTATCGTATTGTAAGTATGATGATTCTGTATCGTATTGTCGGTATGTTGGTTCGGTAACATAGTGTCACTATGATGTGGTATCGTATTGGCGTATTGTTAATGTATCGCATTGTCACTGTGATGTGGTATCGTATTGTCACTATGATAATTCTGTATCGTATTGTCACTATGATAATTCTGTATCGTATTGTAAGTATGATGATTCAGTATCGTATTGTCAGAATGATATTTCTGTATCGTATTGTAAGTATGATGATTCTGTATCGGTTTGTCAGTATAATATTTCTGTATCATACTTTCAGCATAATGATTCTGTATCGTATTTTCAGTAAGATCATTCTGTATCATACTTTAAGTATAATGATTCTGTATCGTATAGTCAGTATGATATTTCTGTATCCTACTTTCAGTATAATGATTCTGTATCGTATTTTCAGTATGATATTTCCATATCGTATTGTCAGTATGATATTCTGTACCGTATTGTCACTATGATATTTCTATATCGTATTGTCGGTATGATGACTCGTATCGTATTAGCGGTATTATAACTGTATCGTATTGTCGGTATGTTGGTTCGGTAACATAGTGTCACTATGATGTGGTATCGTTTTGGCGGTATTGTTAATGTATCGCATTGTCACTATGATGTGATATCGTGTTGTCACTATGATGTGGTATCGTATTGGCGTATTGTTAATGTATCGCATTGTCACTATGATGTGGTATCGTATTGTCACTATGATGTGGTATCGTATTGTCACTATGATGTGGTATCGTATTGTC